TAAGCTAGTCCTGATGATGTGTTTAAGTAAGTGAGAGAAATTTCACAGAAATGGCCAAGACAAATTTCGAAGAAATGAATATTCGATTTGTTCAGGCAATTTGATCATTCAAGCAATGCGCAATTGATACAATTAGTGGTTATGTGTCTAATGAAGCGGTTTAGGAAAGATCTTCGCACTTGACACCATTTGAGCACTAAAAATAACGTTCTGATATGTGACATTTCAGGCATTTCTGTCTGCCAGTGACTAGATAAGCTTAATCCCATAATCACATTTTGTGAAACACTTTCCATCTTTCCAGTTCTCTTATCCCACAGCATATTGCCTCGCTGTTCTCTGTTTTCAGATGCTCTTTCACCTTTAAAATTCATTATCGTCTTGTGCTGTTGAGTAAACAAATAACAAACGAAGATTGGCGTCGTCTGTCTCGTGATATATCCCATAATTTAGGAAAAAGGTTATTAAATCTCGCGCATTAATAAAGTGTTTGACAGGCATTCTTTAAAAAATCCCCATTATTTATTTTGCCTTACCCCAACATACTTGAGACCTAAAACATGAGATTGAAGTTCGTGCAACTTAGTGGTCGCGTAGAAAACCTATCTTCCTCACGAGTCAAGTGATCACCTACCACATCATACCCCATTTCAAAATTTACACATCTTAGGCCTGTTTTTTCCAATGTCACGTGGAGATGGAAAATCACCTCACCTAACACAAATAGGTATCTATCTTGCACAGAAACAAGCAATACGACGAAGAAAAACGCTTAATTTTAAAGTAGCATATTCCTTTAAAGAGTAAAAACTGTAATTAATATTCAGCGAGCGGACTAGTTAAAGCATGCAGTTATTACTTAAATATACGGGAAATGGAGGTGAAGTAGTGACGATGTTCAGGGTGAAATGGAGAGGACGGGGGGTGAATGTGATTAATATGCCTAGTTAATTGCGCGATTGTTTAGGAGATGGAAGTAAATTGATACATACTCAGACAAACACTGGGATTGAGTAATCAGTCAGATGAAAACGAATTCAGTATTTCACAATCTCAAAAATCCTATTGTGACGGCGGAGGAAGAGGTTCAATAAAGCCTAAAAGATAAAAAGAACATAATAGTAATATGTTGCAAGACTCATTTAGTCTCGGATTTGTGAGAAATGCCGATAATCAAACACAGCAAACTGAAGCCTCTACAACCCTCCTACCTGCCGTATTTCACCGATAGTGACCGAAATTAGCTTCTTGGGTTAGAAGAAATATGTATAAATGAAAATAGCTAACACACAATATTAAACTGGGTTAAAAGCGGCGTGTGTGGGTAAGAGCCTATTGTGCCAGTTATTGTTATCTAATACATATGTTTCGACTTACCAGAAGGTCGAAAGAAACTTTGTCTTTTGCTCACCTTCAGAATAACCCAATATAGACATTTTCTATAAAATCGCGCTACTTAATATATTCTAAATAGATGTGATTTTTTCAAATTTGCGAACTGACTTACTTGTGCTTTCAATATCATCAAAGGCAGCAGGAGGAGGCGGGAAGTCTCGATTATTTTGTTGAAGAAGGTAATTTAAATTCTGTTGGCTTAGATGTTGATGACTGTACTGCTGGTTCTGTTGGGCTGGTGGATAGCCATATCCATATCCCATTGCTGGGATATTTGATTGGGGCTGGTTGGATTGCTGGAGTTGCTGCTGGCCGTAATATGTTCTCTGGTTTTTCACGGCTCGAACACTTGAATTGCCATGGGTAATGCCGCCACCACAACCGTTGCTAACAATCTGACGCTGTGGAAGACGGCTTGATGCATTAGGGGCGTTCTGATTTGGGATCAAAGTCCGATGGGTCAGTGCGGAATGATTTCGCACACCTAGTTTTTATCAAAAGATGGTCTTAAATAGGCTTTAAAACTGTTCATCAGACAAATAGACATTCTTTATTCGAAGTAAACATTGCTAATACATAGGAAGACAGCAGGTCTAAATACAGGGTTTAGAAACATAAATAGTAAAACGCGTGAAAAGAACAGAAAAAATAAGCAGATTCGTAAAATAAATCTTTGTAACGAGTGCCTTACACGGATTCTGAAAACCCTTAATTTGTGGTGACGCCCCATATACTAATTGGGTCTGTCATTCTCTATGAGAGTTCAGTAATAGAAAACGTCCAAACCCGACCTCCAAGAAGAGGTGAGGTGTGGTGCAACCTCTCTCGCCATAAGAGTAGTGACGTTGATATTTTTCGGAAAATAGGTACTTAAATGGAATTCAGTAGGTGGCAACTCACCAGAAGTCGAGGCATATTGCTGATTTCTTCGAGCAGCGGCTTCAACAGCTAATTGAGCCGCAGTTCCCACCGAGGTTGAATTAGGGGTCCCATTCTGGGAACTTTGCTGATGTTGGAACGATCGTGGGTCAGCATATACGCGCTGGGGGTGTTGTTGAATCCCTCTGGGTGTTGTGTAATGTCCATTAGAAGATAATGACAGCTGGTGTTGTCGAGACTGAGGTTGTTGTAATCCTGACTCACAGTTATCAATCTGTTGTTGTTGTTGTTGAAGATAATCAGATGACGGAAAGAAATTTTGTTGCGGTTGTTGACTAGCTGTTTGTTGGAGATGTTGGAGCTGAGCGGGAGGTTGCTGTTGTGATAGGCTTGGAAGTTCTCGGCATACACTGCTAGATCTGCGTGGTGGACGTATCACCTGACCGGCTGGCTCGTTCGTATTTGACAACTGACTGCGCAGCTGAAGTGGTGAATAAGAATTGCATATCACAAGTTTTAACCAATTACCACGTTTGAAAACAATAGTACTTGGAATAAATTAAATGAATGGCTGCTCTAAGTAGCACAAAAGTCAGAGTAATTAAGACTCAACATACCAGAATAATACTAGATTCAATGCTCATTCAAGAAACCCTTTCTTCCGATCGAAGAAATAAAGAAAATTCGAAACCCAACTTCTTAACCTCTTCCCCCACATCGCTCCACATTGAAACCGATTGTCCTAATAGTACAGATCTATTAATAAAGGGACATAATATTTTTATTTGCCATTTTGACATGGTTTGCATTATGGAAAAGATGCAACGAAGTCCAATTTCCAATCTTATGATTACGCCCAAAGGATATTGCTAGACTACCCCTGACGCAGACTCAGAAGGACGAAAGATGATAATACAATTACTTTTACGACACTCACAACTCAACGAATATCTTATATAAAGTGTTATTCACCTTCGCATTGTGAGTATTTTAGTAGAAATATCTATGAACCTGCCAAGGGGGCGGTGTGCACCAGTGCACTGATAAGGAAAATTGGTGGTACTGAGAATACAACAGGGGAGGTCATTGCGACCAACTGCGCATAAACAATTGTAGGAACTATAGGGGTGATAGTTATGCTTGTCTGTTATATCTCTTGCTCATGGTATCACAAGCCATTGGCCTTTTTTACGGTTACTTTTAGAATCGGCACATTTCATTCTATAGCGCATAAGTCCCTCGCTTGATACTTTCATCACAGCAAAAAAAAAGAAATGCAACTAGATTTTCCTGTAATAAGCGTAGTAAAGTATCGGCAAGTCAATAAAACGTAAATCTCATTTGAACAGAGAGCAAGTTTATTATCAAGAAATAAAGTGAATTTCATGTAGTAGACAACCAATACTTACAGGGCATCGCCTATTTGGACCCGGAGTCATTGGTGTTTGTCTGGGACCATACCCATATCCACTACGACCTTCCATATCCACAGAGCCATTATTTGAGGCGGCAGCGGTAGCAGACGCTGAGGCTGTATTCAGCTGGAACATTGAGCCCCTCATCAAGTTGATGCCTGCAGTTCGTGTTAGCGTTTGTGACTGCTGTTGGAATTGGGGCAAACGCCTTCTACGGAAAGTAGAGGTGTTTCCGATACCACCCAAATCTAAACCCTCCACACCGAGAGGATCAATTGATGATGAGCTTGTTGGTGGTTGGGGAGAATCTGTACGATGACCGGAGAAGATGGCATCAATTCGTGAACGAGCTGTATAAGAAAAAGATGAGGAGCCGTAGTCAATCTTTCAAGTGTAGCATATCAATCAGAGAACTCATTCTACATTTAAAGTATAGATAAGTAGAACTTTGAATTACTCGATACTCTGCAATTATGGAACAATGAAATGAATAATGGGCTATTGAGAATAGTAAGGGATCATCAAGCATTAGAGAGAAAAACTTAAAAGCATTGAAATAGTTTTCTCTATAAATGTAACGATAAAATTAAAACTCTAAGCTTGGATCAAATGTGAATGTTTTGGCAATGAAACAGGTCTATTAAGTAGGCTATGGAACCTCAAACGAGGTTAGGTTCGGTTCAAAGGTTAAAAGAACCCCTCACATAATCTCAGGTAAAGTATAACGATCTCGATCTCTCGATAAGTCTATAAATTATGAAAATATCAGCCAAACATGGTAAAGTACTTGTCTAGAATATCTTATAGACAGCTCGTCACTAGAATGTAGAAAATCTACTAAAGTCCGCTATTTTCTAAATCATATCACTCCCATTTGATGTTCAAACAAAATGATTTAACTACCATCTCATACCTTTACTTATCATATCTGAAAAAGATAAATAGCCATGTGTCTTTTAAATAATAAATTACCTTCAGCGTAACTAGATGAAGGTGAATTTGGAGTAGAAGACTCTGGAGGCGGTGAAGTGGTTGCTTGATCTGCAATTACAGGAGTCATATAGGAGGTATGAGGGGGACTCAAACCCAAACCTTCTCCGGCACCTTCACATGGCGCTTGTTGTGCTTGCGACGAAAGTGGATTTGTCGAAGCAAGACCAGGTGGACGACCACTGATCGATAGACTTCGAAGAAGGGACGCCATCCCACCTTTGGAGATAGTTGCAGTGGGCTGAGAGAATTTTCTACCATCTATAAGAAGAAAGAACATAGACATGATTAGCTACTTATTTTAGAATTTCAGTAGGCATGATCCTTTGAAGAAAATATAGGAATGAAAAACATTCGAGCTACACTACTCAGTAAAATAATTTAGTAGTTAGTATTCTATACTGGAATAAGCGTGAGGAAACTCTGAACACGTTACTCTGGAAAACATCAATGCTATGCAACTAAATAGATTGTTTCAATTCTCTGAATTACAAACAGGAGTAAATGGATGGATTTTAGACCAAGGTAATCAGATTACAGCCTACTTTAGAACTATATGAACACAAAGCCATCAAAGAACAAATAAGATAAAGAGCACCCACCCCGGACAAAGTCATGAGTCATTGATGTGTGTGAAAAATGAGAATAAGTGACTGTGCAACCGCATACTCACTACTTCAACTCAGCTGGAAAATCAGAGTTTTACTGATTAAATGGTACTAACTTTTCATGAAACTACTAGTGTTTCTGGTCGTTTCGATCTGAAGTTGTGATTAAAAAAAAAACTTGATAAACTGTTCCTATTTGTTAGGGAGATACTCTTACGAAGCTTAGCATATAAGAGTACATAGAGCCAAATGCATGCATAATCGATGATAGCACAGAGGTTAACGTGCACGCCTGCAGAGCTGGAGGTAACAGATTCGAGGCCCACCGTTGCACATCCGGCGGGGAAGTGGCCAATCGCAATGGCCAAACTTAGCTAATTAATGAATGGTAGAGTTTGAGTTCCTCACCAGAGAGGCTTCCTTACTCAATATGGTTACTGAAAAATAACGTCCTAAATGAGCAAGAAATTTATTTACCACTCTACTTTCTATAAGATATAAACTAAGTGAATACTTGAGGCTCCCATAGTTTATTTTAGTAAAGAATACTATGCAAGAAAAGTAGGTAGAAACAACTCCAATAGCAAGTACTAATAAGATTTCTAGAAGACAGCAAATGTCTATGGCAAGCTGAAGGTTCCCATTTCCGAACCAAAAAATAGTGGAGGTTTTTATAATTTTCTTTAAAGATCTCAAGGTATTTATTTTTCCTTCATAACTAACTTACGTTCTTATACGTTGATATCGATTGGGATTTGACAAGGACAAACTCAAGCTCAGTAGCATTAAAGCGCTATGAAATCAACTCTACTATTATAATCTATACGTGAAGTTTTTTTCCAATTCGCTATAATACATCCTAACCCAAAAGACAAAACAACATAACAAGAAAACGCAATTTTTAATGCTTTAAGGGACCGGGAAATAAATATAAAGAGTGCCGTAGTTAAATGGAACCAAAGATGGCGCTTAAGGAATGGAAAATGCATATGAAAACGAAAAACAGGCGAAAATTTTTCCACACATAAGTAAGTGGACTAGCAGAGGGAGGCTTAGAGATTTGAATGATGGCCAATACACCAGACCTATTCATCCTGTCCCTTATCCCACCAATCTCCCCTTCGTCTCTCCACGTCATCGGTAGTTTGACTAGTTCGCTGAAAGATGGCAAAGGGGGGAGGGGCGAATGACTAAGACAGGAATGACAATTTTATGCCCTCTAACAGTAGCATGTTCTAATCTGTGGCGATTCCTCTAACAACCAAACTCCCATCCGTATAATAAAAACTCCAACTCGTGTAAAGGACTAGAGCAAGGTCGAAGAATTTGAGGTCAACTCAATAAGACAAAAGATAGAATTTAGAGGAACTATATCTACCAGATGGATATATACTCACAAGTAGACGTCGAATACCAATTAATTGAGCTACATAGTTCATATCTTTTCATATATCAGAATTAACTATTTAAAAATCAGCATTAAAGTAACCAAATCCCCAATGTGGGACCGTAAAGTAAACTTACTTTCCGATAAGGTAAGATTGAAACCCCCTCTAATGTCAAGTGAATTTCAACTTATCTACTCAAAAAGGTGCTAGTGACACAATGAACAAGCGTGCTCAAGTCAGGAAGTATTTTCTCTCAGACGACTCTTGAGAGCTACCAATACCTTACGAACACAATTGCCAAACATGTACAGGGAGGCGGTGGATAAATTATGGGATGCCAAGAAAGCTAATCGATAACAAAATCGGTATTAAACTGTGTGACACTCGGTTGCCAATGCCGGAAGGACCGGAAATTGCAAGATTTAGTAGTCTGAAGCATTTTATAAATTACGCAATCTTTCCGCCAACACTGATAGGCTGCCAAATTTTCGAGTGGAACAAATATTACCTATTTTGCAAATTAATTGAACAGTAATCAGTTTCAGGCTATTATATGAACGTAAGTAAAACCAATTTACTTCTTGACAATTTCTTTTAATTATGGTTTCCAAGATTGATAAAATGCTTAAAATTGCGTAATACGGCGGGATTTTGAATAAAAAAAGAGAAATTCACAGCGAAAAAAAACAATGAGCCACTTACGACGCACATTGGTAATATACGATTATGCGCATAAAGGATATCTGTACGCATTTAACAAGATTACTTTAAATTTCAGAACAAAACGTATATCTAGTCATCGCGAGGGGAACTTCGTAGATTAACAAACTCAATTATAACCAAACTTAAGATAATGTCTATTTCTGCGTTTGTCAGCTCCGTGGTGTACTTTTATAATTACGATCACTGACTTTTGGAGAAGAAAAAAATCTCCTACTTAGCTACACATTGAAAAAAGGTAGAATTGTTCAGGAAAAGCAATTAGACAAGCCTGCGTCCTGATAGTCGAGCCGATTGGATACACAAAAGTAACCAAAGAATAGATTTAAAATGACACTGATGGCCATATACAATGAGCTCATTACAAGAGAAAAGATGTAAATGTGAAAGTATGTCATGACCATCGCTGAGATGCCACGAGAGTTTAGATGCTAAAAATCCCTTCAGAAAGCATAAATACTCCGAAAAATATCCACGCAAATTGACATTCTATTATAACATTTCAAGAGAATTTGAGGACAACTTAAGAGCAGAACGACGAATTCGACTTATTGATCTTCTTGAAGAAAATACAAGGCAAACACAATACAAAGAATTCATATTTCGACTAAAATTGATGTAATAAAATCGTTCCCCATGCAAAAATTAAAACAATGGAGCAAAAATAAAGTTGCTTATGAGACCGGCTGAAAGTAAAAAAATGAAGAGCACTCAAAAAAACAAAGAAATTCCTGCTAATTACTGAGCTCAAACAAACTCTTGCCAAGATTATTTTTAATAATATTAAATCGAAGACAAAACTCACCTTTGATCAGTAAAAGTAATATCAATTAATACGACTGGAAATTTAGTAATATAAAGTTGTAAAAGTTGACCACTATTGATTGCAGAGCTCAGAATAAATGGGAATTTCGTAAGTGACGCAGCCTACCTAGCCAGTCATGACCTGAAATAACGTTTTGACTGACACTCCTCCTGCTGGTGTCATGTTTATATGACCCTCTCTTTGACATTGTGTACCCGCAAGCCACCCCTATAAGTACAAGTTCCGTGAAATTAAAACTTGATAATTAAAACTACTTCCATCCTACGGAGACGTCTCTTCATTTACTTTTGGCTTTAATTATGCTTAGAGCCAGAAATCTACCATAATAGGAAGGAAAGAATTAAAATCCCCCTACTTTGTGGATGTCAAGAACGAAAAGTTGCATGAGAAATACAGATAGGGCTTTATGGCAGTGACCAAGGGGGTTGGGTGCTTCAAAACTCAGTTCTCAGTCCTATTCAAATTCGATGTAATAGAACGACTATTCCTAGGCCGCATTCACTACCAATTACGCTACATTTCTCACATTTCCCGGTCTGGTCAGGTCACAAAAACTAAAGGATCAAAGTGCTATTGAAAATGGTTGATAGCTCCCACCTCATATTGCTCGAGAATCTCAAGCGACCTTAGTGTACTTTGTAGTTATTGATTTATAAATAACTAACTCACTCGACCTGATGAAAAGTACATTATACGGTAAGCACGTTAACAAATTCTTAATTTCCACTGGCATCTTACAGAGAAGTGTGGGAAGGGCGTCCCTTATTAAAAGCATTGGATACAAAGACAATATCGATAAATGCTTCAGCAAGACTCGCGGTTTCACCCACAGTTTCGCTTAAGCATGCGACTGCTAAAACACGCAGTGTAGATATAAACAGATACGCAAATAGAGAAGGAGCCGTGGACACAGATGAAAGTGGCGTTAGAGCGAGTTGTAGCTGATACCAGTAAACAAAGACTTGGTTTCGCAAAACACCATATTCTACCGCCTTCTGTGATAATAAACTAATGCAAGAAATAGGCTGCTACCCAATGCAAATTCAATCGAAATTGTATTATAAGGCATCATCGGTGAGAGGTATATCAAAGAAAAGGTTGAAAAGCGCAAGATTTACTCATTTTGAGTCAAGTTAATAAGCACAGTTATAAAGTAGATCCTCAACACTTTTAGAAGAAAGTAACCCCAAGGTGCCAATACTAACTATTCAACTTCTAAAATGTTAGGTAGCTAGACTTGCTTTTGGAACATAAGAATGCGATATAGAGACACAAAAGGAAAGAAACAGTTACTTGACATATGAAAACGAGTTAGATGTAATAACCAATGAGACAATTTATTTAAAAAAACAGCAGTTGTTTTCGGTTATCATGTTTAGAAGAACTTGATTTAGTCTATTTTGCTTACTGGCAAAAGTTATTACAATAGCACACTTTTTAATGAAAACAATTGGATGCGAATAAAATTATAAAAAAACATTGTCGTTACTAGGGCCACGGTCAATTCAAAATACACACAAAGATAATTAAATGGCTAAGAACTTCACAAAACTCCAAGTCCCTATTCCTATCTGCATACAAGAAAGTATTGTGCCAATAAGACGAACTCATAAAAAACTGCGAAGCAAGCGAAGAAAGCCAATATGAAGGAATGTATCAAATCGATTATTTGAATATACCAAGTATATAATAGGCAGATGTTAAAAAATTTGAGATCTATTGAAAGCCCAAGAAAGTTACTTCCGTTTTAAAGGAAATATACAAACAAATGAACAACCCGGTTGGATAGAAGAGACTAGTCCCAATAGTCAACAAAATAATTCAAATCTGTAGGAATTGGTAAGAGCATGACACCAATAATAATGACAATCACAAAATTTACCGGAAGTGGGAACTAAGGAGAGCAGAGACATGACCATCTCAGTATAGAAATTGAGAATTGGTAAGTGAATTACCGCATAGCTCGAACCGATCAACTAAAACCCCCCAATCTTTCGATGGTTTGATCGTGTAATGGTTTAAAACACGTAAAGTTAATCAATAGTGGGGTTTCCAATTGTGAACTTCTCAATTAGTGAGCATTTATACTGTCACAAGGTAACTATTGGCAGAATATATCACTATTGGACTTGGAAGTTGGTAAGGTAATTTTCTAAAGCATACCGATGACCTTATTCGACCACAAACAGAATGAGCGATTGTTACCAGAAATAGACACCGTTCCAAATTAATGATTGCGCATGATAGCATACAAGCACAAACACAAACGTGTCTACTACACGATTAAAGCGTGACTTAGCTACAATGCTCTCCACAAGAATGGACATGTCATGAGCATAAAATACCAGTCACATAGTGCCCCACCAACACTGGAAGGTGAGGGTTTGCTAACCCAGACAGAAAAAGTGAAACTTTTAATATTAATTCAAATGGTAGCCCCGGGTTTTGTCAAAATAACATTTCCGCCTATTTGTCTAACTTCTTGATTCGCATTCGAATTGTTTCTACCTGTGGTACTACCGAAAAAATGATAAAATCAAGCCTAAATATATGTGCAGCTTAAGGCAATGGGTTAATGCTTAACTAAAGTGGAAAAATGTCCAATAAAAGAAGGGGAAATGCTTCCTTTGGCCTTTACCAAAAATTCCCTAATGATTTTGAATTAGAACCAAATCAAATAGTCAAATACGCTTCGGTTCACTCCTTGCTTTCTTTTCATTTTTTCACTGCAAAAAGATGGTAAGCAACTTCGAATTTCTCTAGATTTTCGAATTTGCGCCCAGAAACTGATAAATCACTCGTTATAGTATGTTACAAGACAATGAAAAATAACTAAAAACTATGAGATTAAGTCAGAAATGGACATTGAAATCGAGACTCCAGGACTCCGGGAATTCAACTCTTAAACTAGCTCACAGACATTTTTATTTCCCACAATAAACTAAGATGCAATCTTGCAAAATACCTACTCTCTCTGTGTGGCCTTCTTGGTCTTTTCTGCAAAGTTCCCAATACACCACAAAGGCCACATTAAGCAACGCTTCAACACTAATAACTAAATGCTTACCCATTTGATGAGTATCGTATATCGGTGGGGATTCAGCCCGATGTGGTTTTGTGGTTCCATTGCCGGCAGGAACAGCAGAAGAGCCTGTGGCAGTATTTGAAGAGGACGCATCCTTCTTAATACCACCGACCCCGCGTTGTGCAGCTGCTTGCAATTTACCAATATTTGTGTACACTGGTGGAGGCAGAGCTTGGTTCGGGTAAAGCACCGACTTCTCTGAAGGGAGAAAACGGAAAGATCTTCACTTAGTGGGCTTCTAGGAAGTGAGATAAGATACTTCAGCCAAGAATACGAAGCACTAGTTTGCTCGATCATGCCAAACATTTGATGTGACCAGTAGGCACAAAGAGGTATTTCTAAATGCGAAAGTCTTATTCGCATGAGAATCAAGAATGTAACTTCATGAAAGTGGAACCTTCAATAAATGCCCACATTTATTATGCATCCCAAAGGACTATCTTCCAAAGCCAACAAATATCCGCATATGATATTGCTTAATTTTTAATTTAAATAGATTGACGATTTTACAACACCTAGGCTCGACCTTGACTAAATGTCTCCCCTTAATGACTAGTGTGGAAATGCTATACTGTTTCAAAATTGCATTTTGAAGAATACGATATAGTAATGGGAAATTGGAAAATGGCGCAATGAAAGTTTTGATTAAATTTCATTTAAATCAGTATAGTTAGGTGAATTCAACTTAATGCAAATAAAGATTTTGAAACTTATGATTGAATAAAAGTTCACAACCAGCAATAAAATAAAGGAAAAAAGCTTACATGTTATTCAAAATTTCTTCCTTGTAAAGGTTAGTTGTTAGACAAGTGATTTAAAATGAATTAGGGGCATTCTTAAGATTAATTTAAAAACCATACAGTAATCTAGTTATATTTCGAAGGAGTTTTTAACAGTATTTATCTTTGACAGAGGAATTGTGTTCAGATTAGGAGCTCGAATCTTTTTGTTGTTTTAATTACCAACAGAGTTGGTCAATGAGGATTTCGATGCAGAAAATCGAACTCAAGGTATTAATAGACCAGCTCATGGTAATCTACTAATAACCCTTTTAAGTACTATGTCTCAGTGTAACCGTGTAATGATGGTCTAGTGCGGTTGTGGGAACAGTAAGTAGTTAGCATAATTTGGCCAAAGCCTAATTCCTTAAATGAGTCACTGAAAGCGACAGCTACAAAATGATCGGATTTTTTGCGATAAAACCACCTCGGTTAGCAAAGCAAATAAGTTGCCCAGTAGCCAGAGTCTTAATTAACAAAGATGTGTGTTTCGGCAACGATACCAGATGCGTATTATTGGCATCAATGGAAATTGTTCATATAATTTAGATTGTCCATTGAGACCAGACCTAGACCTGTGAATGGCTGTTTCTTTTGGAAAATGGCCGAATCTTCCTTCCATCAGTTCATGATATAAATGCCTGGTTGAACTGAAGTTTACTTAACGCAAAGCAAAAGGCAGACTAGGAACTCCACAATATTAAGCGAAGATGACTATTATTCCAGTCCAATTACACAAATCGTAGCAATTATTCTAATTGCAGATCATAGACAACTAAGGCAAATGTGTACTTCAGGTTCTGGCAGGCGTCAAGATAAATATTTGCATGAAATCTACTAGCAATTAGTTTAATATTTTTCAAAAACAAATATAATTCCTTGATAGGCACCTTGGCATAAGTTAACATTATAAATACGTCCAACCCTTTGATATTTACTCAACAGATGGGCCTGATTTGTATTAAAAAGCCCGACCAAAGCGCAGAGAGTCGAACGTCCACGTAGTAGCTAATTTCATAAACGTCCCCAAAGATGGCCGATTGATTAATGAAGAATTAGTGATGATTCGATAATCTAACAGTCACCAAGTATGATACGAGAAGCACAGGCGCATTTAATACCTTTAATTCATCCAAATTAGAATTCTGGAGAGGGAGTGGGTATGAAAGGATTTACAATGGACAAATTTATACGCACACATGGAAAATGCAGTCTCTTGTAGTTGTTAATGTGTCGCATTATAAATGTCTAGACAAGGAAGATGTGACCTTTCAATTGGGAGAAGGGGGAGAGATGTGATTTATGCCTTCCTAAAGAGTAGGCAATATGCAAGAGACGAGTATTTTGAACCCTAGGTAATTCAAATAATACACAAAGCCTGGAATTTATCTCAAAATGACTAAAAGCATATAAAAAACTTCGAAGAGGAATCGGAAGCAGATACAAATTCAGGTAATTAATCGATATTTACATTGAACTGAGAGTCACAATCCACCTAATTGTAGCGGTTGATCCGAAGATATGGAAACAACGTAGAAGTTAGATAGGCAAACCCTACTTACTGCAAAATAACCACAATCACTATCGTCATTGTTATAAAAGCAGTAGTATTCCTCCAGACGCAGGGCGAACTTTTAGTGGTTGCTAATAGTTATCGGTGGAGGGATGAATCACCACGAACCGCTCCAAGGAATTAAAGTCCTCCACAAGCGTTAGGAAAAGAAATGGTTCTAGAGTTAACTAGAAGTATGATCTCAAGCGACAGCATATGAAGTAATTCACACATAACTCTATGGCAATTAAATCGCATGTTGAGAAAGAATCGATTGGATATAAGTGACAGCTTTCGACGAATATGCTCTCAACACTTTCGGTCAATTAATAAGGAGTAAATATTGGGCTACTCAGGTCAACCGTACCTAACCACAATGATAACGTACCTTAATAGATATACTAGACGCAATACCCTAATATGATGTTTAATTAAGAAGAGTTCCCTATGGGGTCTTCTGAGTTTCGTGTATGGTTCGACCTATTCAAGTGACTCGGCCAATTGCTTCGATGAATGAAGCTATTCCAACTAATGCTTAAAAGATTGGGTCCCACAATCGTTTATTCTTCGGTTACTGTCGAATATGACATCGCTAAAGTCCAAATACGCAACTAAAGGCATAAAATACATAGCAAGAATACTTTACCATAAATATATGCATTAATTTAAATGATTTATCGCTTTTAACTTATAAAGGCTCAAATACATTACAGAAAAATAGAAAATATAATTTGTTTTTATCTAATTGTGTATTAAAAGCACTTAAATATCGATGGGAATGCAAAGAAACAAAAAAGGTGAATAAGACCAAAGCATAAGCCAGTTGATGAGATTTAAACAGCACAATTTCTTATCTCCCCGTTATTGAACACGACCGTAGCACGACCCGTTGGTGATCTATGCACATCCTTTTGCACTGCTAGAAAATTGACTTTTTTTGCCTCAGCAAGCGGCATAACGTCAGTCCATTAGCAACCGCTGCTACCACCTTACGCCTCTCAAATGAAAATGCATTTTTCGACATGGCCCATCGAATGGACATATCTGCGTAGACTAAATTTCAATAAATTTTTCTAGGTAGAGGGAAATTCGTTGTTGTGGCCATTAGGTAAGAAATATTTCCTAGTGCTGTGAAAAAAGCCAAGCTGCAGATGGTGAATAAACCGAATGATTCATTAATCGTCATGATCCTGCGCGTAGCCTGGCAAAGTCATCCAAATGAATGTTATGCCAAGTGGGAAATTCGTACACTCCATGGCATTCGCTCATTTATGAATCTTAAAATTTTGCACTAAAGGATTTCTTGAGATTATTGGCCATCGCAATGTCAAAATTGGTCACTACGTTTCGCTTCATTATTATGCACCAGAAAAGCAACTCAAAGATCAAGGGACCGAAACTTATCGACACTCATCAAGTGACGTGGGCACTAATTCTTAATGCGTTTTGGCCACTATAATAAATTTAAATACCATTTCAACAATAACAACAGAGGTGAGAGAATTCGTGTCAAGTTTTGAGAAAATTTATGTCAAATGCAGTCCATCTTCATAGAATTTCAGTCATTATTAAGAAAATATTAGGCACTCTGATTAATAACGATTCAAATACCCTTAAAACATCAGTTTACTGGTAAGAAGACGGATAAAAGTGCAAAGAGACTAAAGGTTGTGCCTAAACGTAAATTCTCCTTGGGGTTCCCTTTATACACTGGAACTATAAACTGTTTTATTACGAAGCTATGTGTTTACCGCCTATAGCATACATTTTTTTAAATAAACGTTTGGAAAAACTCTAGCTTGACCAAACCAAGCCGAGCAGGATATGTTCGGAACCGGGGTCAATCAAGGTCAGACATGGTTTTTTTGCTTCATCTGCCCTCAACCAGCATGATTAGTTTAAATACGGTCACGAGATCGACCGCACTGATAGGAGTAGAAATAATCTTTGGAACCAACGTATAGTTTAGAATATGAGCAAAGATTGCTGGTCATACACTCCTGTCTTTTAAATAAGATTATCTTACTAATGAATATAAGAACAATTTATTTACCCATATTGGTAGAATGAGCAGTATTTGTCACCGAGATATCATTGCTGCGATCTGCTTGTCCCAGAGTTTCATCATTTTCGTCATCCTCTGTGAGACAGCCTTCTGTCGTACCGCCGTCTTCATCGCTTCCATCGTCACTCCCGTTGGTAGCTGAGTGGTGTTCACCATTTGCGTCCACTTCATTTGCAGGCCCCATTCCATTGGAAGAACCGGAGTCACCCAGAGAACCCAAGCCTTAAATGAAAGAAAAAATGTAAGAATATTCTATCTTATGTAAATTAAACAAAATAGTTCAAAACCGAGTTTTTATGAATAGAAGAGAAATAGTTGGACAGCCTTTCCTGTGACTATTGATTAGTGCCCATATTGGAAATCCTAAAAGGATTCTATTAACCACTACTGAAACGTACTTATTTCGAAGTCTTTCCGTTTTTAACCAGGCTTAAATGGTGAAAGAAGATTACTTTCAAATATTCACCTTTTTTTCAGCCAGGGACTAGAGCATGTCTGGTATCCTAATACCCAGTGATACATTAATATCCGTCAAGTGGGTACATTCGAAAGCTAGCCCGACTTCCAAACTAGAATATTCTGAGATGGGACTTTGTCAATTAAAAGCCCAGGTAGACACCTCACAGTGGATGTAGATTGTAGGATGGTGAGAACATTTTTGCCACAATCACAAACAAGCAAATCAAGCAACGGTGACTTGTTCGAGCACTACCATATCACTACTGGTGTGATTTTATTTAATAGACACATAAACGAACTTCCAAGTTAAGCTGAAAGGGGAATTTTACAAAGAGTCAGCAATAACACTTATTATCATTAAAAACCAGGTATTTGAGATAATATGGAGAAATAGATAAGTGATTGTCAAATATTAAATAAACACGGGCAGGGGGGGGGTAGGGTATGTCGAATCCTCTGATTAACCTAAACGAACCAAAAGTATGTCTAGCCATGCTAAAGTTAATGTAGCGAGGGATGTTACAACGCATTTTCGAACTCGGGGCTTGCTACCTATTTTATTCCAGCTGATAATTTTTTCATTAATAGGTAACGTGATATTAATACAGCCAACTGTTATTTAAACATTGAATGTTTTTTCCACCCCCCAGTTTTCGACGTCCAAAAGGGAATTTGTGCAGATAATCTGCCCTAAAGACAACTAATAATTATCAGCGGATAGTACACGAATTTTCCACTAACTAAAAGAAAGAAGTGGGGTTGTGGATAGACACAACCATATTTCCACTCCACACTGAGGAATAAGATGTGAATACAGCGAAAAGATTGCGCACTTTTAGGATGTCTTGACTTGACATTAATGTAATATATCATGATAAATGTTACACATACGCATATAAGTGCTTTCAATAAGAAGAGATCATTATCGTAAAATTGTGTGAAGTTAAGTAAATTTAGAGACGAAATAAAAATGTTGAATTTCGTTAAATTTCCATAATATAGGCAGATGTGCCTTTGGTTTACCAGTTGCAAGGTTACAATATTGTTCTAACACATGTCGCATATTAAATAAAGCATTCAACCGGAATTTCAGCTTAATTTATTGACACTGATATTCAAGCAAAATACTTCATCACTATTCGCCCAAACTAAGTTTGTAATTCGCTAATTTAGGACAAAGAAACCTCAATGGCACAATTATAATTATTAGAGCATACAAGCACTAAAATTGCTTCCGACTTTTGACTTTATGCGCATTGGAACTGGTAGTAAAGCGTTTCCGGGGAAAGATTAACTCATTCCAAACAGTCATGTAGTAGCAATGACTAAAATACTACTTTTGCGTATACCACGATATAAAATTAAAAGGACAATTGGGTGTCAAAAAATTAACGCTAATGGCTGACTCAAATGTGGTCTTAACAGCAGAAATAAAAGATCAGCCGACTTGAAAGATGGTTAGAAACTGGAAAGCATGATGCTGCCAACTGCGATAAATGTTTATTTTCTCCTTCATGGGAGATCTTCTAGTCAACTATGGAACCCAAAACTTGTTGGCACGGATGAATTAACTTCTGTGAATCCAGCATCAATTAACAGACCAGCCTATCAACTTAGGGCGCTTCAATGTGAAGGCTGGATGACAGCTTACTAATTTGAGCGCGTTAATGGAAGAAATGTGTCACAAAGCAGCTACACTATCAGGGAAACAAAACGCCAGTGGTAATCAGAGAACTTGCACATGCAAAGAGTTAAGGAAAAGAGTATGCCGCCAAATATAAAAAATTAGATCCACACACGACCAATCCATCAGTATACAACCCTCAAGTTTGATGTAAACACATGTTCCAATTTAATAAAATTTTTAGAACTAAATAAAAAGTTGAAAGTTGTATCCAAGGGGCTGTAGTGAACAGAAAGACCCCGAAAGAAATATGTAAAAATGCCAAAATGGCAGACAAACTGCAATCAGCAATATTCGTGAAAGATTTTATGCTTTACAATAAACGTAAGGGCGGACATAAATGCCAATAAAAGCGAACAGCACATAAAGGAAAATGCATAAAATAGTGCAATTTTAACGGAGATGCCAACCTGTTACAAAGTAAGCGAGAACATTATTTCTGTTAGACACCACTCTATTCAACAATTTTTAAAAAAAGAAAACTTAAATTTCTATAACTAGCATTTTATAAACCTCTTTAGGGGTGTGCGATAGACTTACCTCCACGTGGTGCACCCTAGGCAACATATACTCATACGGCAAAAAAGTCTAAACCGGCAGTTGACTTCTGACTTCAAACTACCATCACCCCACTGTATGTCATATTCGACTACTTTCACAGTACTCACCTCACGTTTTTTCTACCTTTTCTACTTTCGTCTTTGAAACACTCTCATGTTCCCTACCCCCTCTCTCTACTTTTTTCACTTTGATGTTCCTCCCCTCTGTGAAGCCTGAAGTCAACTAAAGGGCTAATGATAACTATCAAAACGCCTGCCATTTGATATAAATAAATAAACCTCTTTAAAGCTGTACGCAAATAAGCTCAAAAGACAATGTCTGAGAACTTTGTTAAATTCATAGCAAACACAGCGTGCTGGTGTGATGGATTGGAAGTATTTTCGACAGGTAACCATTCCAGAATCAGCGTAAAAATTTTATTCAACTGAATCATGAAAGTCTGCTTCTAAATGTGGCTAATGGCTTTTGTCTACCAAAAAAAACAATGAGGCCCAAATTAAATTTCCCATATTGAG